GACCTCCTCTGAGATGGAGCTGACAGAGGCCAGGCCGCCAGTGCCCATAGCAGGTTCAGGTGCCCCTTGCAAGGCTGTTACTCCAGGGACAGCCCACCAAGCCAAGTGGGAGCGGCCTGGGGATGCTGGGATGGATCCCACCTGGGTGCCTGAGCACGGAGCCTGCAGTGGAGTCCTGCCGCCCCCTGCTGCCCAAGGTCTGGAACTGCACCTCAGCTGGGGCTGAGAAGGGGCCAGGTGGGCAGGGTGGGTGGCATGGTCGGCCAGGGCTGGTGGAGTGAGGACCCACATCGGACCCTGCCCAGGTTCTGCTCCTGCCCCAGCCAAAACCTTGTTGGTGTTCCTGAAGAAATGACATTTGAGGTGGGTCCTCGGGGAATACTAGGGAGCTTCAGGGAGCATATGTTCCAAGCGCTTTCCATGGGGTCCTTCACCAACCCGCAAATGGGCCCGGCTCCCCCTTGCTCCAGGGAACTGTCCGGGCACCCACTGTGCTGAGGCCACCCCGTCACCCCTCCAGGCTGCACCCCGCCCATTCTCCTCTCCCCTGCAGTATCACTTTTTTTTTTATCTTAAATTTTTTTTTTTTTTTTGAAGATGACTGGTAAGGGGATCTTAATCCTTAACCCTTGACTTGGTGTTGTCGGCACCACACTCTCCCGAGTGAGCCACAGGCCATCCCTATATAGGGATCCGAACCTGTGGCCTTGGTGTTGTCAGCACCACACTCTCCAGAGTGAGCCATGGGCCGGCCGGCCCTTGGATCTTAAATTTTTAAACAAATGTTTTCTCTCTTTATCCCACTTCCCCTCCAGCCACTGCCCCATTCCTTGGCTCCCTTTTGTGGCAGACACCTCAAAAGTGTGGTTCAGATTCTGCTGTTACCCACTGTTTCTGCTTGAATCACAATGGTCAGCCTCTGTGCCAATGAAGTCAAAGTCACTGGTGACCCCTGGGCACTAAACCCGATGGCAGCTCTCAGGCCCCCACTCTCAATTCACCTTCTCCACTGGCCCCCAGGCCCTGGCTCCCTGGTTTCCCTCCCTCTCCCTGGACGTCCCCTCTCTTCTCTATCCCCTCGCGCTCCTGGGGTCATCTCATCCAGGGCCAGGGCTCTAAACACTGCCTTGATGCGGATGACACCCTAACTCCCACGTCCAGCTCAGACCACAGCCCCAAACGGCACACTCCCACGTCCTCTGCCGACGCACAGCCCCCTCCCCTCGATAGGCCAACACTGAGCCCCTGGTTCTCCTTTGAAAACGTGCTCCTTCCCCAGCCACCCCTTCTCAGCTATGGCAGCTCCTTAGGCAGGGGCTCGGGGCAAACGTCCTGGGTGAGTCTAGGTTGGCTCTCTCAGCCCACGCCCACCCTTCAGGACAGCCCATCAGCTCTTCCTTATGGAGATGTGCAGAATCCACCCCCTGGCACCCTCCACTGCCCCCCGTCCAGACCACGTCACTCCTCATCTGGACCACAGCAGAAGCCTCCCTGTGCAGGCTCAACCCTGGGTCCCTCATAAGCCAGAGGACCATTCTAGAACCCAAGGCAAGTCAGAACGCTGCAATGGATCCCACTGCAGACAGCACAGAAGCCAACATGCTTGCAATCCACGTGTCCTTTGCTTACACATCCCAGGCATCCTGTTGTCTCTGCCTCCCCCAAACACGCACATGCACTGCAGTGCCAGCCACAAAGGAGCAGGCAACGCAGTGGGCTGAGTATCGCCAACACCGGGCGCAGAACCCGCACACAATAAGTGCTCAATAAATGTTTGTCAGGTTAAGCAAGGTTGCCCGTTTCACAGCCCATAGCCATTTCAAATGTCCAGGCCATGGCACAGGCGGCGGCCAGCTTAGGGACCAGACTCCCTCGTCTGGGAGACTCTCGGGGGTCCCAACCTCTGGCACATGGCAGTCGGAACGGCTTTCTCAGGACTCAGCTGGCCGTGTCCCTGCCGCTTCCAGCCCTTCTGGGGCTGCCCCTCTCTCCAGGCTCAACTTTGCCCCGTCGCCCCGCTGTGCACCCTGTGTCCCCCGCATCAAGCCTTCTCAGTTTTCTAAACACCCCAAGCTCGGACTCAGCGCTAAGCCACTGTCCAGGCTGTTCCCTCTGCCAGGCCATCCTCCCCACACCTGCCCAATCTGTGCCCTTCCTGAGGACTCGCTGAGGCATCACCTCCCGACAGGCCTGCCTCCCAAACCCGACCCGAGCCAGCCCGGTGCAGCCTCGTGGGGCAGAACTGTCGCCCTGCCTCTCCGAGGCGCTGGGAGGCTGCGGGCAGCCTGCGCTGGGGACGTGCAGCGCGTTGGCTGCGCGGCGAGGGAGCGGTCGTCCCATGGCCCCCAGCCCGAGCTGCTTTCTCTGGAGGAGGAAGTCCCGGGGCTCCAGGCCTCCGCGTGTTTCTGTCTCCTCGCCCAGCCCGAAGGGCAATTTTCCCACGTTCCCCGGAACCAGGAAGCTCCCCCGCCCTCCTGAGACTGCTCACAACAAATACAAAAGCTGGATCCCATCGGTTCTGCTCTGCCCGCTGTCCCCACCACCAAGCGAGGCGCTGCCGGGTGCTGGAGGGCGAGTGGTAAGTAAGCAGCCCCTTCTGCCCTCCCCATGAGCTCCAGGACCTCCCGCCTCGGGGCAGTTTGGGGATGCTCACCCCACCGCCTCCTGCGTCTTCACCCTCCAATCCCTGCCCAAAGACCCCAGCAGGAGCGAGATGATGGTCCAACCTCTTAGCCAGGTAGGCAAGAAGCAGCCAGGCCCAGGAGCCTAACGGGTTGGTCCTGGGGAGTGCGGAGCCTCTGGGGACAGTCCCACCCTCTCCCCCATGAGTCCTGAGTCTGACTCACCCTGAGACAGTTGCCACCCAACCCCACCCCTTCCCCAGGCCAGTCCTCTGTGCCGTACTTCTAGGAAACCCTGGGTGGACCTGCCTGGGTGCTGGGCCCTCGGTGTGGCCCCACCCTCCCCACATGGCTCAGGGAGGCCAGGGTGCCCGTTCTGGAAACTGAGTTTGGCAGAGGACCTGGAGAACACTCCACCACTGTGGTGCCTTCAAAGCACCCACCAGCAGGCCTTGGGCTACCTGGCTCTGCCCCTCAACTGCCAGGACTTTGGCCTGCTCTCACCGGGCACCTCAGGAGGGGCTCCACCATGTCTGCCCCACTCTATCTCGGGACCCTCCATCCCCTGCAGTTTTCTGCTCTGTTTAGCTGTGGTTAGCACATGGCACAGGGGACATTGGCTGTGACATTTGGGCCTGTGGCTGGCTCTTGCCTGGGCTGCAGGGTTGGTGGGTGGGGCGGGAGTCCTGAAGGAGCATCTGGTTACTTAGCAACAGTCCCCATTGGAGAACAGCTCAGGGGAGTCTGTGTGCTCCTGGGGGCTCCAGCAGGAATGGCGGTGGAGGGCCACGTGTACCTTGTACCATGCATCTCTGGTGGCCCTAGCCAAGCGTGTGGGACATGGCGGGCAGGGAGAAACGAGGAAAAGCTGGCATCGCAGCAGCTCCCAGCAGCCTCCTGGTCTGTGGAAGGCGGTGGGGAGGGGCCCAGGAGCTGTTCCCAGAGAAACTCCTGCCTCCCTGCCCCTCCTCTGGGTCTCTGTGCAGACCCTTGGCAGGTGGCAGGCCCGGCAGTGCCCCCTGTTCCCCCTAAAGCCCACTCCCCCACACTCCTCCCCTTCTCCCCCCGCCACGCTGCCCCTCCCCGTGCCCAGAGTGGACACCCTG